GTTCTCATCCAGCATCTTCTGCATGCTCGGCCGTGACTCGGCAGGGCCAAGCAATGGCTGCAGACGCCTCAGCAGCACTTCGTCGGGCGATCCTTGTGTAACCTCGATGAGCTTCGAGAAGGTCCACCCGGCTTGGTAGCCGTCCTCGGCCAGAGGACTGTACGGCTGTTTCTTGGCGATCTCCGGAGACCAGGCTGCGACGTTCCCGGGAAGGCGCTGGCCCACCTCATCTTGATGTTGCAAGGGCATCGCTGCATCCAGGTCGACCAGCTTCACGCCCGTAAGCTGGGCCGTGAAGCAGATGTTTGCTGGCTTCACATCCAGGTGGGCGATCAGCCGCTGGTGCATGTGTGCCAGGGCCGTGCAAATGGGCGCCACGGCACTTGCCAGGCGCTGAGGGCTCAGCTGGCCGCTCTGCGCGGCAGCTTCGAGGGACAGGCCGAGGAGCTCCAGGCCAAAGCCGATGACTGCGCCCTCCTCGGTGACCAAGCACACTGCCCGCACGATGTTGGCGTGGTTTAGGCCGGCGAGGAGCAGAGCCTCTTTGTGCAGGCCTTCGCGGTCCTGCTCCGGGTTTTGGAGCCCAGGCTGAGAGCGGACAAGCTTCACTGCCAACTCCTTGCCGGAGAGGCGTGCTCTGTGCACGGTCGCAAGCCCACCGCGGCCAAGCTGCGCCAACAGCGTCAGCTGGTCTTTCTGCACCTTGGGAAGCCTGGGATGCTCTGATTGCTGCCTTGGTGTGCCCTTCGGCTTCACCGTCACCGGCTTTCCGAAGCTATAGCTCGGACCTGACAGGCTCTTGGCTTGCCGGTACTGCCCTGGGCCTGGCGTGGGAGCCTTGCCTGCGCGGAAGCGGGGCGCTTTGGCGAACGACATTGCTGCCAGACACCTAATATGGGAAATAGTCTCCTTGACAGAAAGTCCTGCATCGTCGTGGCAAAGCATGTCCAAGCGCAAGACCGATTCACAGCGGCCCCCCCCCCTTCCAGCATGAATGGGAAACTGTTGAGGGTTCCCTAAGCCCTAAACCCTGAAGCCAGCTGGTGCATAACTAAGGTACTTCCAACCCCTTTCCAACCCCTTTCCAACCCAAGAACCTCTAACCAGTGCAATGAAGACTGATGCTCATGTTATCTCATGTTTCTGTGAAGGCTCGGACCCACTCCCTCCTGAACAGATATCTCTAGATCACAGCTTGAAAGCATGAGAAACTCAAAGTCGAGGCAAATGCCGAATTCAGTTACTAAACTGTTACGTAAACTAAACCAACAGCAGGATCGGCCAGCATGTCATCAGCCTTGCCAGGCGGGAACCAAACGTCCGACCATCTTCCGACACACGCTCCCCAAACTGCGAAGATAACAAAGGTGGGACGACAGGCAGAATCATAGACAGATATAGACAACATCAAGCATCTCAGAGCTATCTTCCCTTTTTTCGCTCGGCAGCACTCAGATTTCAAAGTCGATCCTGGAAGCCTCCTTTTCGGCCTGGGAGGGCGTGCAGGGCTCTTTCGCGCGGAGAAAAGCCAACAAACCACGGCAGCTGACCAAGCAACCAAGTTGTAAAGACTGATCAGGGCGAAAACGTAAGGAGATCCGCGGCTGAGCCCATGGCGGCCTCTGCGGCTTCCTTGGCAGCCCGGAAGGCGCGGAACTGCCTGCGCGCTCGTTCTGGACGGCTTCGCGTTGGGGCTGTTTTGGGGCTTGGGGTTTGGGGTTTGGATCCTGAGGGGCTGGGGGTTCAGGGGTCCCGGCTTGACAGTCTACTTCTGGGCATGTCTGGTCAAGACGGGCTCTGCAGGACACTGCATGCCCCCTTGCGGCCCTTCCCCGCCCCCCGCCCCCCATCGCATAGGAAAGGAGCTGCCTCAGCTTCTCTCTCACATATTCGGTTGGGAGAGCACGGTCTCGCAACTCCTCGAAGGCAGGGGTGTGGAACCCTTCATGCCCAAACCCCGGAATTTAAAGGTTGGCTTGCGCAAGGTGCCGATATCGTTAGATATCTTTAGGGAGGCCCCTTGGAGGGCGGCCACGCTAGGAAGTCCCTTCCTCGGCCACTGGCCGGGTGTCCGCCAAGAGCATCTGCAGATACTGCCGCTTCCTACATGGCTTGGGCTTCAGAGTTTGGGATGTCGGGTAGAGAGGCGTGAGCTTCAGGGCTTTAACATCTGGGGCATAGGGCTGGAAGTGCGTTGAGGGCAGCTGCATTCGGATGGTGCTCTGAGTGTGATCTGCAAGTCTATCCGGAGCAAGATCCAATGATCCAATGGCCAGGGGCTGACTCATCACAAGCCTGCAAAGGAACATGACCTTACCCTGAAGGCCATCGCCACTCCAAAAGCGTCTGTGCCCATCACCGCATCCGAACCCGTGGAAACGCGCAAGCCACCCTGCCTAGTGTCATCGTTGCCCAACTCCAGCCAGTCGTTGCCCAACTCCAGCCAGTCGTCCCAGCGCACCTGCCGGACATCCCAGCCAGGCGAGGTCAGCCTCAAGTAGAAGTGATCTTGGGGCTGGTGCCCCGGGGTGGGGTTTAAGGAGCGTCCTAGGACATGAGTGAGTATCTCTAACCCCTTCAATTCGAAATCCTACAGTTTGCGAACACAGAGCGCAACTCTCCAAGTGCAGGGTATATAGGGCATAGGGCTCAGCATCCAGAGCAGACCCAACCAAGAAACTCTCTCTTTTTGCTTGGACTCTTTCATGAAGAGCTCTGCTCCGGGGGCTCCAGTATGGCTCGCGGTCGAGGTATGCCCCCCCCCCCCCTAGCCCCTAGGCTCGAAACCCCAGCTGGTCACCTCCTTCTAGGCCGCTCTCAACTCACTCTTGGAGCAGGGCGTCTCGTGTGGCAGGTGCTTTGCCGGAGACGTACGGTTTCAGCGCGCCAGCCTTCGCAAACAAAGGTCTGGCACGGAGTCTGTCACTCAGGTGCTTTGCCGGCAAGTACTGATCGCTACACCTGGGTCCCCACGAAGAGCTCATGGTACCCAAACTTCTTGAACCGATCTCTCAGGAATACGACCCCGAAATGAAGCCCCGACCCGTCTCCCACACTGTCTCCTTTCGCCAGAATCTTTAGCGGATTCAAGCTTTTGGAACAAATCATGAGAGCGTCTGGGGCTTTAGGGCCTTGGCTGGAGAATTGGGTTTTCGGATGTGGGGCTGGTGTTGAAGGGTTCAGGGAATCGTGGAGGGTGTGGGCTTCCTCAAGGCTCACATAGGGCCCGGGCAATAGTAGAACGATGATTGGCCGTCGACCATCAAGCATCGCCTTCGCTCATCCACCTTTGGCCGTAAACCCCGAACCCTTGTAGGATGGTCAAATGGGTACCGAGCTGAGGGGCATCGGGGGTGCAGGGTGCCCATTGGTACGCACGGTGACCGCCACCGCAAAAAAAAAACAAGGATACATGTCACAGCCATAGCAATGGGTGCATCATGCAAGCAGCAACTGTTTCTGCATCCGCCATGCAGGAAGTTGTGAGAAGTGAACGACATGCTTCCCTCCTTCAGCAGGATCATTTGAAAGGTCACTTGTGGCGATGCTTTGAAGGTTTAGGGTTCTCCGGCCATGACCACCTTGGCCTGCTGAGTCCGTGCGGGCCTCCAGCTGCTCGAGGCCGATGTCGATGTAGAGTGGGCACCCCAGCGGAAGGAGTTACGATGAGCCTGGAAGCACAGCAAAGTTGCGGCCGGGCGGACTAGGGGAGGGGGGGATTTCGGTCTTGGGCCGGGTGTGCCAGGCATTTAAGGTGCTTGGGGGTGTTCGGGATTTTGACCAGCTGCTTCTTATGTTGTATTCGGTTGTAGGGCCTTCTCGGGGCCGACCTTCCTTGGCCTGAGGGCCTTGGCCCCGCCCAAACTCTCCGGTGGCTCAGGCTTTCAACCTTAGGGCATTCCTGTAGAATAGAAGTCCTGAAGACACCCAAAAACCCTCTGCAAGCCGCTCTCTCCTGAGGGTTTTAGGTCCTCTTGCAAGTAGCCCCTAGCACCCCAGGCGGCCCATTGGGTACTTTGCTGCCTGGCCTTGATCAAGTCGAAGGATGCTGTCCTGCAGGATAAGGCTTTCTGGGCTTAGGGGCTTCAGGGCCTCTCAAGGTTTAGGGTTTAAGGTACCCCCGCCCCCCTCACCGGAACCTCCGAACCCTCAGGCACGCAAAGAGACTGCGTAGGTTTCCTTCGACCGGCAACTGTACTTCCCAAGAGATGCCCTGGATTGATGTCTTGTTTCGTGTGCCACTCCCGTTCTGTTTCGAAGGAACATAGGTCGGACCGGCCGGCCTTATCATGATACGGAATGCTTCTGCACAGCATTTGAAGACTTGAGGCACAAACTGTTTACAAAACACCAAAACATTGGCTAGACTGATAAATCCCTCCTGACTTGTAAGATTGTCTTTTTGTCATAGTTAGTTCGTCGATGTCGGCCCGAGAGGTTGTGCTCATTGTGGTTCTTCCCTTTTCGGTCGGACAGGGCTGTCTGTCTACCTTGTACTTGTACATGTAGGGCCTGCATGGAAGCACTCAAGTCCGGATGAACCTTGAACCCCGAAACTGGCCCTAAACCCTATGTAAGCCCTCAAACCTAAAACCATGGGATGGTGGAGATCAGGGCCACTGTCCAGGAGTCCAGGGCATGCTGCGCCGCCGCCCGGTTCAGGTGACCGCCGTCCCAACGGATCCGCTTCAAGCACCACATCCTTGGCACTTTGCCCCCTAGACCCTGCAAACCCGAACAACCTAGCGTGAACTGGCTGAAATTGGAGGCCTTGCGGAGCTGGGGGGTAGTCGTAGACTACCCTCGAAGCCTTATGTATAACAACCCCTTCATTCTTCCTTCTGTAACCCCTTCGGAATGTGGGGTGGCAGTGAGGGACCCTACATCCTCAGCCCCAAATCCCTAGCCCTCGGCTCCTTTACAAGGATGGAACTCCTTCAGTCGCTTTAGTCCGTTAACTTCAGCCTTGAGCCCTGACAAATTCAAGGCAGCCCAGCATCAGGGACATCAGCGCGTGGGACTGGAAGTTGGGCACCTGCTCCTTGATCGTGGGGGCAGCTCTCCCGGTAGAAGCTGGCGTCCAGGAAGCTGCTCTTACCTGGGCCACCCTCCAATCACTCCCAACACCTCTGCCATCTCTGGATTGCAGACCCCCGAAGTGAAGCCTCACTGAACCCCGCCTAAACCCCAACAAATCCGCCCCTTTCGGGCCCTGCAACTCCCAGACTGCCCCCGAGTGGCCGTAGCCCCACATGATGTCGCCGAGCTGGGCTCCTCCCTGAGCACCAGGATGCGCTTGGAGTGGCCGAACCGCAGCTTCACGTGCTTCCGCAGCGCCGCGGCCTGATGCGGCGACTAAGTTTTACTGTCTTGTAGGGTAGAGGATCTCGCTGTGCAACCCCCACAAGAAACCCCAAGGGCTTCGTGTCGAGGGTTTGGGGTTTGGGGTCTGGGGTTTGGGGTTTGGGGTTTGGGCTTCGCGCTTTGGGGCCTGCGCGTGGAGGTTTAGGAAGTTTGGGACCTACAGGTAGCTTGGTATGTTTAGGGGCGTTTGTGCCGTTATCCCCAGCATCCTTCTGCACGCGGTGATGTAGGTCGCATCCATCAGCGCCGTGTCCGACGTGAGCGGTCACGGGCAGCGGCAGGCGGAACTAGCGCGCCCGATTCCTTGCGGCTAATAGTTGTGGTGAGGTGAGGGGAATTGGGTGCCCTGCTCTAACGCTCTAACAGTGCTCTAACGAAGGGTGTTGGGGGTTGTTCCGGAGACCCTTTCTCTTCAAGGCACTTCCATTGCCTTTATCTACAGGGATGCCATCACATGACACCGGCTCCTCCGAAGCCGCAAGTCTTAAGTCCTAAACCCCCAAACCCTGCAAATCTCTCCTATAAGAACAGTCAGGTTGCTGGGCCCAGGAGCGCCACCTCTTGTCGGACGGGATTGAAGGCACGCCGTCGGTCGCCACCGCTTCGCCAGCAGCAGATATGCCATTTACAGCGGGGTGCTACGAGCGTCCATCACCATCTTGGATGGGAGCCAGGTGCCCGCCGGCCGACGGCGATGTGCTCCGCCATCCCGCTGGAAGCCCGCGCAGGGTGGATGTTGCTGGGGTGAAGCTTTGACCACTGTCTTGAGCTGCTCACTCTTCACGCCATGGAGGCCTGCCAAAGTCTTGCAAGGGAACCACGCAGTCTCCAGTTCGAAGAGCAAGTCGAAGCAGGGCACCCGCACAGGAACCAGCGCATCGGAAGAATCCAGCTTCACCACGAAGAGAAGTTGTCCAGGCTCGCCCCAAGAGGAGATGCGCTCTGGGGCAGCCCACACTACCTGGACGTCTCTGTCGAAGCGGATGACAAGGACGTTTTTCGTGCAATTCTCCTTCCCCTCCGACTCCTGATCAAATTTGGCCTGCTCAAAGATCTCGTCGATTGCCTTCAAGGATCGCCGGGCCTCCGCAGCACAGAGGCTCACCTGCTGGCTCACCTGCTCGCCATGCGGCAACGCCAGCGTGCAGCTTCCGTCCTTTTTCATCTTGTAGGCGGAAGGGACACCAGAAGGGACACCAGCTTGGTGCCACATCGGATCACAGTTACGGCTCTTGTTGGCTCCAGCTTGAAGATGACCCTTTCCTTGTCCGGGTCGGCTATGGAGACCTCCATCTTGCTGGCACACAAGTGTGCCGGAAGTCCAAGTCGCAATCGCCAAGGTTTTCGAGTCCCGGTCCTGGCGAACTCGGATCCGATACCCCACGGGCCGAAAAAAGGAGTGCAGATTGTCGCTGTAATCGTGGTGTGTGAAGTGCCCCGGGTTCAGCGCTTCCGGCATGTGCTGGTGAGACGGGAGCCGGAGTCCTTGCTTTCTGCAATGCTGTTTCAGCTCGCGGGTCCTCATCCCGGAAAAGTTCACGGGCTTCATGTTGCGAAGCAGCCTCTTCGGCCCAAGGGGCACGCTCAGCATGTAGCGGGGGTGTGGCGCGCCAATCGAAGGGCTCATCCCAGGACCGGGCATCCAGCATCCAGTCACCCTGATTGAAGTACTGGCTGCTGTGTTTGCTATCCTTGTCCTTGATGAAGAGATGTTGTGTCGTCAGGCTGCCCCCCACGACAAGCTCCTTGTCCCATGTGAGATGGCCCGATGTCTCAGCAAAGACGTCTATGTAGCAGTGGTACACTGCCTCGCCCTTCTTGACTGCCATTCGGGAAAAAGCTGTCTGAGCCTGATTCGGCTCCCAAGGCTCGATGACCTTGCAGGCTCGCCCTCGGAAGTGATGGGCAAACTCACGGATGCAGAGCCCTCGTCCGTGCCCTGAGCTGTCAGCATGAGAACGACGTCAGGCAGCAAGAGGAAGGGCTTCCCGTAGATCACCCGACGGAGGGGCATGCAGCTCCTGGGCTGGTCAATGCCTCCCTGCGAGGATGACGGTACGGGATCACCGGACCTTCGAAGGGCACAGAGATTTGACCAGAGCACAAGCCCCACAGGCTCATTCTGCTCGATGGTGAAGTCAGCAGCGAAAGACTCGCCGAAGGCAGCCGGGTTCGAAGACCTTCCGGACATCCGACCGAAGCCCGTACCATGTCGCGACATGAAGGTGGTTTAGGTCCTGTTTCTCCAGTGATCACTGTGCCTGTCCCATGACTGCATAGGGGCGTGGCTGCAGCGGAGCGGAAGGATCAGCTGGGATTACTCTTCCTCCTGGGTTGGGCACAGCAGCCCCAGCTGGAGGATGGAGCCTTCTTCGAAGAGAGCGGAGTCTCCAACTGCTCCAGCGTACTTGTTCCTGAGAAGAAGCCAACTCCTGCCAGCCCTCTCCGACACTGACCACAGACCGATCGAAAGACGCACCCAGTGGACCTCATGGAACGTCTTGGGATGTCTTGGGGTCTTTGAGGATGGGTAGCTGGCCAAAGACTTCTGGAGGTGATGCTTCTGGAAGCTCGCCAGCCCTTCTTCATCTACTTCAGCTGGGAAGCACAACACATCCTCAGAGCCATGCGCATAGCAGACGGGCCGTGCCCTCAGCCGCACATGCTGCAGCCAAGCACCTTGAGCTCAGCTCAGTGCCCCCGCATGCTCTCAGCCAAATAGCTTCTCTAGTGGGTTTTGCGGAGGTCGGCTCCCAAGGAGGACTGGGCGCCCTTCGAGCTGCAACAGCTCTCTGACCCGCTCCTCTGGCTGCCTGAGGTTCTCATCCAGCATCTTCTGCATGCTCGGCCGTGACTCGGCAGGGCCAAGCAATGGCTGCAGACGCCTCAGCAGCACTTCGTCGGGCGATCCTTGTGTAACCTCGATGAGCTTCGAGAAGGTCCACCCGGCTTGGTAGCCGTCCTCGGCCAGAGGACTGTACGGCTGTTTCTTGGCGATCTCCGGAGACCAGGCTGCGACGTTCCCGGGAAGGCGCTGGCCCACCTCATCTTGATGTTGCAAGGGCATCGCTGCATCCAGGTCGACCAGCTTCACGCCCGTAAGCTGGGCCGTGAAGCAGATGTTTGCTGGCTTCACATCCAGGTGGGCGATCAGCCGCTGGTGCATGTGTGCCAGGGCCGTGCAAATGGGCGCCACGGCACTTGCCAGGCGCTGAGGGCTCAGCTGGCCGCTCTGCGCGGCAGCTTCGAGGGACAGGCCGAGGAGCTCCAGGCCAAAGCCGATGACTGCGCCCTCCTCGGTGACCAAGCACACTGCCCGCACGATGTTGGCGTGGTTTAGGCCGGCGAGGAGCAGAGCCTCTTTGTGCAGGCCTTCGCGGTCCTGCTCCGGGTTTTGGAGCCCAGGCTGAGAGCGGACAAGCTTCACTGCCAACTCCTTGCCGGAGAGGCGTGCTCTGTGCACGGTCGCAAGCCCACCGCGGCCAAGCTGCGCCAACAGCGTCAGCTGGTCTTTCTGCACCTTGGGAAGCCTGGGATGCTCTGATTGCTGCCTTGGTGTGCCCTTCGGCTTCACCGTCACCGGCTTTCCGAAGCTATAGCTCGGACCTGACAGGCTCTTGGCTTGCCGGTACTGCCCTGGGCCTGGCGTGGGAGCCTTGCCTGCGCGGAAGCGGGGAGCCTTGGCGAACGACATTGCTGCCAGACACCTAATATGGGAAATAGTCTCCTTGACAGAAAGTCCTGCATCGTCGTGGCAAAGCATGTCCAAGCGCAAGACCGATTCACAGCGGCCCCCCCCTTCCAGCATGAATGGGACGAAACTCTCGTGGAAACTGTTGAGGGTTCCCTAAGCCCTAAACCCTGAAGCCAGCTGGTGCATAACTAAGGTACTTCCAACCCCTTTCCAACCCCTTTCCAACCCAAGAACCTCTAACCAGGGCAATGAAGACTGATGCTCATGATATCTCATGTTTCTGTGAAGGCTCGGACCCACTCCCTCCTGAACAGATATCTCTAGATCACAGCTCGGAAGCATGAGAAACTCAAAGTCGAGGCAAATGCCGAATTCAGTTACTAAACTGCTACGTAAACTAAACCAACAGCAGGATCGGCCAGCATGTCATCAGCCTTGCCAGGCGGGAACCAAACGTCCGACCATCTTCCGACACACGCTCCCCAAACTGCAAAGATAACAAAGGTGGGACGACAGGCAGAATCATAGACAGATATAGACAACATCAAGCATCTCAGAGCTATCTTCCCTTTTTTCGCTCGGCAGCGCTCAGATTTCAAAGTCGATCCTGGAAGCCTCCTTTTCGGCCTGGGACGGCGTGCAGGGCTCTTGCGCGCGGAGAAAAGACAACAAACCACGGCAGCTGACCAAGCAACCAAGTTGTAAAGACTGATCAGGGCGAAAACGTAAGGAGATCCGCGGCTGAGCCCATGGCGGCCTCTGCGGCTTCCTTGGCAGCCTGGAGGGCGCGGAACTGCCTGCGCGCTCGTTCCGGACGGCTTCGCGTTGGGGCTGTTTTGGGGTTTGGGTGGGGGTTGAGGGGTCCTGGGCTTGACAGTCTACTTCTGGGCATGTCTGGAGGCCTATAGCCTCAAGACGGGCTCTGCAGGACACTGCATGCCCCCTTGCGGCCCCCCCCCCCATCGCGCAGGAAAGGAGCTGCCTCAGCTTCTCTCGCACATCGTCGGTTGGGAGCGGAGCACGGTCTCGCAACTCCTCGAAGGCAGGGCTGTGGAACCCTTCATGCCTAAACCCGGGTACCGGTAACATGGCTCATAAACATTGCAGGGGTCCGGCCTTAGATCCTGAACCATCCTAAACCAGAGGAGGAATCAACGCAAAGGGTTCTAGTTTAGAGCTTTTAAGCAGTTGGCGCCTGAAAGGATGAAAAGGTTGGCTTGCGCAAGGTGCGGATATCTTTAGATATGTTTAGGGAGGCCTTGGAGGGCGGCCACGCTAGGAAGTCCCTTCCTCGGCCACTGGCCGCGTGTCCGCCAAGAGCATCTGCAGATACTGCCGCTTCCTACATGGCTTGGGCTTCAGAGTTTGGGATGTCGGGTAGAGAGGCGTGCGCTTCAGGGCTTCCAACATCTGGGGTATAGGGCTGGAAGTGCGTTGAGGGCAGCTGCATGCAGATGGTGCTCTGAGTGTGATCTGCAAGTCTATCCGGAGCAAGGTCCAATGATCCAATGGCCAGGGGCTGACTCATCACAAGCCTGCAAAGGAACATGACCTTGCCCTGAAGGCCAAAGCGTACTGTGCGCAACACCGCATCCGAACCCGTGGAGAAGGCAAGCCACCCTGCCTAGCGTCATCGTTGCCCAACTCCAGCCAGTCGTCCCAGCGCACCCGCCGGACATCCCAGCCCAGCGAGGTCAGCCTCAAGTAGAAGTAAGTGATCTTGGGGCTGGTGCCCGGGGTGGGGTTTAAGGAGCGTCTTAGGACATGAGTGAGTATCTCAACACATTCAACCCCTAACCCCTTCAATTCGACATCCTACACTTTGCGAACACAGAGCGCAAATCTCCAAGTGAGCAGACCCAATCGGGGGCTCAAGTATGGCTTGCGGTCGAGGCGTATGGCCCCCCCTAGCCCCGATGCTCGAAACTCCACCCTGGTCACCTCCTTCTAGGCCGCTCTCAACTCACTCTTGGAGCAGGGCATCTCGTGTTGCAGGTGCTTTGCCGGCAAGTACTGATCGCTACCTGGGTCCCCACGAAGAGCTCATGGTACCCAAACTTCTTGAACCGATCTCTCAGGAATACGACCCCAAAATGAAGCCCCGACCCGTCTCCCACACTGTCCCCTTTCGCCAGAATCTTTAGCGGATTCAAGGTTTTGGGGCAGGGCACGAGAGCGCCTGGGGCTTTAGGGCCTTGGCTGGAGTTTTGGGTTTTCGGATGTGGGGCTGCGGTTGGAGGGTTCGGTCTTCCTCAAGGACCACAGGGGCCCGGGCAATAGTAGAAAGATGATGGGCCATCGACCATCAAGCATCGCCTTCGCTCATCCACCTTTAGCCATAAACCCCGCACGACCGCCACCGCAAACAATCAAGGATACATGTCAGAGTCATAGCAATGGGTGCATCATGCAAGCAGCAAATGTTTCTGCATCCGCCATGCAGGAAGTTGTGAGAAGTGAACGACATGCTTCCCTCCTTCAGCAGGATCATTTGAATAGGTCAATTGTGGTGATGCTTTGAAGGTTTAGGGTTCTCCAGCCATGACCACCTTGGCCTGCTGAGTCCGTGCGGGCCTCCAGCTGCTCGAGGCCGATGTCGATGTAGAGTGGGCCCCAGCGGAAGGAGTTACGATGAGCCTGGAAGCACAGCAAAGTTGCGGCCGGGCGGACTAGCGGGGATTTCGGTTTTGGGGTTTGTCGTTCTCGTGAGCTGTTTGAGGTACCTTACGATGTGGTCCACTGGCGCGCCCGAAAAGGTCCGCGCCAGGTCTCCTGTCAGTCTCAACTACAAAGCTATACAGCCACTGCGCTCGGGAGTAAAGACAAGCCGAGTGACGGCGTGGCACAAGCTGAGAATCGGCGTTTGAGGTACCTTACGTTCAAACTCTACAACTCCAGTCAGAATCTAAGCCCTGACCTCTGCAACCCCAAAAGCCACCGAGGCCTTTAGAAAAAGCTCTCCAAGCCATCATGCAAGCACCGTTTTCAGGATTCTCGGGTCTTAAGGTCTACGGTCTTGGGTGATTGGGCTACCACATGGTACCGTAAACGCTCAGGCCCCAAAGCTTGAATCGCAGGCCGCGGCCTCTCCCAAATCTGCCAGGTGCCGGGACACGTCCCAGTGCAACGGTGAAGGCCTGGGCCCATGTGGCAGCCCGAGGCAATGTGTCTAAGCCATGTAAACTTAAGTAAACTCGAAAACAAAGCCTGAACCCCAAAAGTCTTGGGGAGAGAGTTTGGGGAGGCTTCGGGGCTGGGAGGGCTTAGCGCCCATCACGAAAATTGGACGCGTCCCCCGAAGCAATACAAAGGCAGAACCCGGAAAGGATGCGCATAAAGAGATCCGGACGCACGTCACTTGACTTTGCGCACTTCATCATGCAGCGCTTCGTCCACCACTTCTCGAAACTTGAGCTTCAAGAAAAGCTCGCGAGATGTCTGCACGACGTCAGCTGTACACGTTGACACTGCTGCTCCATGAACTACCACGAAAGCAGGCACATCCCTTGCGCTCAAGCAGCGTACAGCGCTTTGGCCTTGGCATAGAGCGCCTTGCCCTGAGCGCTCTTTCCGCCAACAGCGCAGAAGCCCTTAATCCCCAGCTCCTTCCTCGCGGTCATGACAGCATCGAGCCAGCCCTGCGCGAACTTCTTGAAAAGCGCCTGGCCCTTTGCATGCTGCTTCTTGCTGACAACCTGGCGAACACGGGCAAGCACGTCTGCATGCAATCCGTGCATGGTGCTTTCGATGGCGTTTCATTGTTCCTGCCACCACGATCTTGCATGCATATACAGGTTGCCACCGACAGAATCTGATCACTGAACTCACTAAACCCTATAAACCCTGACCCGCAAAAATCCCCGAAGCATAAACCCCTAGACCCAAGTATAGGATAGTATAGGTACCTCGCCTTGCCGCGCTTGTTCTTCATGAGCTGTGCCTTCTGCAGGCCGGACGAAGTCTTCTCCTCAGGCAACTGCTGCTGCAGGACTGTCAGGACTAGGACTCGGAGGGGCACAGCAGTTGGCGAAAAACTTCGTGAACAAATGCCGAATTGACCAACAGCACTAGCCCCAAACCCCAATCTCCTTGCGACCCTTGAAGACGACCATCTTCGCCAGCTTGCCGTGGGCGATCTTGCTGACGGCTTTCTTCTTCATTGCCTGAGGCGGGACTTCGTGGCCGAGGGGACGGCACGGCTATCAGCTCAAATCGCAGTCTTGCAGGACCTGCCTTCATTCCCTTCATGGCCAAGGCCTTCATGGGGCTGGCCTTCATTGCCTTCTTCACGGTCTTCTTCATCGGCAAGGCCATGGCTGGGAAGCAAGGTTGAAGAGCAACGATGGTCGGCGAAAGGCAGGGACAGGCTGGAGCCACGAGTTGGCGGCTTGGAGGTTCCGCGAATCCTCCCGCGGCGTTTTGCCGGGGTGCGGTTATGCGTGCCGGTATTGAGGACCGGAGGCGGTATTCGGACGGGCAGCTGCTTTAGGATTTCGGAGGGCCACTGGTAACAGATCAAGCCATGCAGCAAGCTCATCATCAACAGCGATATCCAGCCCGGAATATACCGAATGCATCCGAATGCCTAGAAACGGTGTGGGCACACCAGAACCAAGCCCTGAAGGCCCTTTTAGGAAGAAAACTCGGCGACCGCGAACGAACAGCCCCTGGTCACAGCAAAGCTGAGCTGATCACTCCTTTCCCTTGTCGGAAATGTGCCTGCACATGGGCGCAGTTCTGGCCCCAAGCTGATTCGACACTTATCCTGTCTGTAGCCGAAGAGGAGAAACATTCCACAGCACAGTGTGATCCGGCATACATCAACAACGAAGTTTAAGGCTCGATCTTTCAAACTTGGCGGGCAGATGCCTAAAGAGCCCTGAAGACTCTACGGATATGTAGGGTTTGGGATTTTGGGGTGGAGTTTTTTGCTTGCACACTCTATTCCGTGAAAGATCAACCCTGAGGCTGATGAATGTGGCACCTCTGGGAGAGCCGCACATAGAAGGACTTGGAGTCTTTCGACAGCATCCGCCAAACCTCTGCAGCCGCAGGCCCAGACAAAGCCTAAACCCTGAAGCCGAACCGTTTGGGGCCTGTGGGAACCCCCGTGAAACCGACAGGCCTCGGGAGCGCAACCCTGCAAAGACTGAGTTTCGAAGATCTAGTCGATGCACTGAACGCCCCTCAAATGAACTGCCTGGACAACCTTTGGGGTAGTTGTTGGCTTCCAGTGGTGTTTGCTGCTTCTTGAGGTGCCAGGGGTAGCCTAAGTGAGCTCGCGACTTGGGAGAGGAGGCTTGTGGTCCCCTGCCCGGACACCCAAACCCAAATTTCTGAAGAGGAGTGGCAACACCTCAGTCCCCAGTCTTTGTTCCGAGAAAACCGACAGGGGCTTCTCGGCCTGCGGACGCTGGATGCGGCACACCACTGCAGACTCGTACCTTTGGGGGTTTGAGGGTTGGGGTCCGGTTGTTCAGAGGCCTCTATGCATTTCATCCGCAATCCCTTCGTTTCAAGCCTCCAAGCCCCACAGGCGCCTCTCTTGCGTTCAAGCGCGGGTTAACCAAACCCAAGAAAACGATAAACCGATATCCCTAAAACCAAGAGCCCTAAACCCGCCGAGGGGCCTGCGGTTTAAGGGAGTCACGGCTTGCCCTGCTCATGGGTTGAGCATAACTTTACGGGTGCTGGGTTGAGAGGCTTTTGCACCCTTGCGCAGCGCACGCTTTCAACAAATGCATAGGCCGCGCAGTGATGAAGATCTTCCGGAAGCGCCTCGGCAACGATGTATTTCGGGTTTAGTCTCGAGTTGAGGGACCCTGAAGAGGCTCCAGTGTTGGTGCTGGTGCCTTGCAAGACACGTTATTGTTAAGCCCGGTGCTCCAGGAGATATGCTGTCACCTGGCCGCAAACGACCAGTACTCTGGTAGAGGGGCTTTCACAACAGCACACTGCACGACACATCATGCAGTGGCAAGCATGGCCTATGCAGTGTGCCGGCAAGCCAAGTCGTTCGCTGCACATACCTCAGCTTACTGGCCTCGTCGTTCCACAGCTTTCCGATGGTGACGGGATTCACGGCGTCGCGGAACTGGAGTTCGGATGCTTATTGCGGAGGGAGCTGTAGGAGAAAGTCGTGCACGTGGCTCGTGTTCTGTATTGGTAGAATGTCTGACGGTCTCGGGCTCAGGTTTGAGGGTACGCGGCTCAGGACTTGGACGTTGTGTGTTGCGTGGGGCGCTAGCTGTTCCAGCAGACTGCTGTCTTGAAGAGCCTCCATACAGACACAGAAACTCCAGGATCCATCCACCACAAGCTGCGCCTAGATACTTCACCCATTCTCGATGCATGCTTGAGCTGCACTGGCACTGCAGAAGAATCCCTCACCGAAGGTTTGGACTCCCTTTGCCTGCTGCGCAAAGGTCTCCTCGAGCTTTGGCACCGCGACGCGGGACAGAGCCTGCTTCTAGGAACTCTGAAAGCAGCGGCTAAGGGCTTCGTGTCGGCTTTCCTCAGACAGCCGACCCATTTTTTGGGTTTGCAGTTCGTAGGCTCGGGTCGCCTCTCGCAGGCCGGTGTCGCGGAGCCCGAGCTGCGCCAGGGCATTGGTGACCTGTTCGGGGGTTTAGGGTATAGGGTTTAGGGAGTAGGGTTCGGGGCCTTCCTTACGGGGCTCGTGGGGCGGCAGGGTTTCGGGTTCGGGGTTTAGGGCTTGGGGGTTACAAGGGCTTCTGGGGTTTTTGTCGTACGGCTCATGCGGGCTTGTAGGGCGGCTTCAGGGTTCTCAGGGCTTCGGCTACTGAAGGTGTGAGGCATTTAAGGTGCTTGGGGGTGTTCGGGATTTTGACCAGCTGCTTCTTAGGTTGTAGGGCCTTCTTGGGGTCGAAGGTCCTTGGCCTAAGGGCCTTGGCCCCACCGAAACTCTCCGGTGGCTTGGGCTTTCGGGCTTAGGGCATCCCTGTAGAAGTCCTGAAGACACCCAAAACCGGCAACCCCCAAAACCCAACTCTGCAAGCCGCTCTCTCCTAAGCCTCGAAACCCGCGCAATACTCTGAGGGTTGCGGGCTCCCCCTCTTATGGAATCAGGGTTAGGGTTGAGAGTTTAAGGTTTGAGGTTTCGGGTGTGGGTCCTCTTGCAAGTAGCCCCTTGCATGCTAGGCGGCCCCCTTGCACCCTCGGCGGCCCATTGGGTACTTTGCTGCCTGGCCTTGATGAAGTCGGAGGGCCTCAAGGCCTCAATGCTGTCCTCCAGGATAGGATAAGGCTTTCTGGGGCTTCGGGGCCTCGGAGTCGGGGCCTCGAAAGGGGTACTTCGCAAGAGATGCCCTGGATTGATGTAAGTGCGGACTTGACTTGCTCCTTGTGGAACCTACAGCGGCACCGTTGAAACAGTCAAGGCGCTTGAGGTTCCGCATGTTTCCCAAGAAAGTTACGTAACAAGGGGCTGCTAGAGGGACCGGCCGGCCTCATCATGATACGGGATGCTTCTGCACAGCATTTGAAGACTTGAGGCACCGATTGTTTACAAAACACCAAAAACATTGGCTAGACTGACAAAATCCCTCCTGACTTGTAAGATTGTCTTTTGTCATGGTTTTTGTTCGTCGATGTCGGCCCGAGAGGTTGTGCTCACTGTGAAGGGCGGTCTGTTTGCGTACTTGTACATGTAGGGCCTGCATGGAAGCACTCAAGTCCGGATGAACCTTGAACCGCGAAACTGGCCCTAAACCCAATGTAAACCCTCAAACCTAAAACCATGGGATGGTGGAGATCAGGGCCACTGTCCAGAGCATGCTGCGCCGCCGCCCGGTTCAGGTGACCGTCGTGCCAACGGATCCGCTTCAAGCACCACATCCTTGGCACTTTGCCCCCTAGACCCTGTAAACCCAAACAACCTAGCTCATGGCTTGAACTTACAAGTCGCTTTAGTCCGTTAACTTGAGCCTTGAGCCCTGACAAATTCATGGCAGCCCAGCATCATGGACATCAACGCGTGGGACTGGAAGTTGGGCACCTGCTCCTTGATGGTGGGCAGCATCTCCCTGTAGAAGCTGGCGTCCAGGAAGCTGCTCTTGCCTGGGCCACCGTCCAACTACTCCCAACACCTCTACCATCTCTGGATCGCAGACCGCCGGAGTCCTCACTAAGCCCGACACCCTAAACCCTCCTCAACACATCCGCCCCTTTGGGGTCCTCCCCAGACTGCTCCCGAGTGGCCGTAGCCCCACATGATGTAGCCGAGCTGGTCCGGCTGCAGCTCCCCCCTCAGCTCCAGGATGCGCTTGGAGTAGCCGAACCACAGCTTCACGTCGTGCTTCCGCAGCGCCGCGGCCTGATTCGGTGACCAAGTCTTACTGTCTTGCATATTAGGGTAGAGGATCTCGTTGTACAACCCCCACTAGAAACCCTAAGGCGTGGGTGTGTGTGTGTGTGTTACAAATACTTATATAACCCTGAAGAACACTAAAGCGGCTTTGTGGCAAGGGTTTGGGGGTTGCACGTGGAGGTTTAGGACCTACCGGTACCCTGGCATGTGTGGGGGGTGTTCAGGGGATTTGCGCTGCAGTTATCCCGAAACCATCCTTCTGCACGCAGGCTGTGATGTAGGTCGCATCCATCAGCGCCGTGTCCGACGTGAGTGTCACGGGTAACGGCAGGCGGAACTGTCGCACCCGATTCCTTACTGGCTAATTTTGTAGTGAGGTGAGAGGAATTAGGTACCCTGCTCTAAAGGAAGGGTAATATACAGGGTGAGGGGTTGTTCCGGGGGACACTTCTTCTTCAAGGCACTCCCATCACCATAATCTACAAGGGGGCCATCATATGGCACCGGCTCCTCCAAAACCTACACCCCATAAACCTCAAAACCCTTCAAATCTTTCCTAAGAACAGTCAAGGTTGCTGGGCCCAGGAGCGCCACCTCTTGTTGAAGCGTGCGATCCCCTTCTTCCGCAAGCGCATCTCCTCCCGGACGGCGCGCAGCGTCACCCGCTCCTCTGGCCTCATGCGCGCGTGGAACACGCTCACGCCTCAGCGCCACGAAGAGAAAAGCGCGACCCCAAAAATGTCTTGGACCCTATAAGCCCTAAACACAATGCTCGCATCATGGGTTTGACGGGTGTCAAAGCAAAAGCATATGCTCTGAAACAAGATTGCACACGGCTTTAAAAGGGGGGTTGAGGGGGGCGCAGCCCCCCCCCCCCCCCCCCCCCCCAAACACAATGCGCGCATGATGGGTTTTCAAAACAAAAGCCTATGTATGCATTGAAGCAAGCTTGCACATCTTTAAATCGCAGCGGGGTCGGGGAGGGCGCAGCCCTTCCCATTTGCAAACACAATACACAATATGCTACGAAGCAAGCTTGCATAGCATGGCTTAAAATTGCTGGGGGGGAGGGGGAAGGGGGGGAGGGGGGGCGGGGGGGGCGGGGGGCTGCCCCCCCCTCCCTCCATTTGCAAACACAATGCTCGCGTGATGGGTTTCTAAAGGATTCGTATGCTTTAAAGCAAGCTTGCACAGCTCAAAATCGCGCGGCCCACCCCATTTGCAAACACCATGCTCGCCTGATGGGTTTCACAGAAACACATGCTCTGAGGCAAGCTTGCACAGCTTAAAAAACCCGCGGGTTTGGGAGGTTGCAGTCACCCGGCCAATTTGCAAACACAATGCTCGTGTGTTTCAAAAAAATTCAGAATATGCTTTGAAGCAAGCTTGCACGGCTTTAAAACGCGGCGGGGTTTGGGGAATCGCGCAGCCCCCGCCCGTTTCAGAAAAACAACATATGCTTTCAAGCAAGCTTGCACGGCTTGTAAAAGCAAGAGGGTTGGGGGGGGAGGGACAGCAACCCCCCCCCCCCCCCCCCCCCACCATTTGCAAACACCATGCTCGCATGATGGGTTTCAAACACTCGCGTCCCGGGACTCTTGTCCACCCTACCCTCTTCTGGCATATTTTGGCTGCGCCGCACGTTAAAAATTTTGGGTGCGCCGCACGTTAGGAGGCGCATCTTTCTCTTCATAATGTGGCGTCGCAGGTCCGGGACTCACGCACTCACCGCCACCCTGTTCCGGCGCAGGGCGCATCTCTTTTGTTGCTGTGCAATCGCGGGCCCGGAACTCACTCCTGTTCCGGCACGGGGCGCTTTGTGTTTTTTGCTGTGCAGTCGCGTGCCCAGGACTTACTCACTCACCTCCCCAACTTCCGGCACAGGGCGGGACACACTTCCGCTCTGGGCGGAGGTTTCACGGTTTCACGCACATTTACAAGTCATTCTAGATAAGAGCAGCGTGCGACTGCACAGCAACATGAAGCACGGCTCGCCCCGCAGGGCGCGTGTATTTTCTTGCTGCACCATCGCGGGCCCGCGGAACTCACTCACTCACTTCCGTTCTGGGTGGAGGTTTCACGTACATTTACAGAAATAGCAGTGCGCGAGTGCGCAGCACAAAAACACGGCTCGCCCCGTAGCGTTTTTTGTTTACTGCGCCGTCGCGGGGCCCGCCGGACTCACTTCCGCCTTCTCGGCTACACACAGTGGCCGACTGCAGAGCAAAGAAAAAACCGGGCGGGGTTTTGACAAACGTTTACACCTGATCCCTGCACCCTCAAAACCCTGCGCTCAAACCCTCGGTCCTTCTAAGTCTTAAAACTCTCTTGAAGCCAGAGCGTCAGCTGGAACCACCAACCCTAAACCCTAAACCCTAAACCCTAAACCCTAAACCCTAAACCCTAAACCCTAAACCCCACACCCTAAACCCTAAACCCTCAAAGCCAATCAAGTGCCCTTTTGTGAGCACCTGCTCTCCCTGGAGCGACTCACGGCCAACGTGGGCACACGGAAGGGCTTCAGGGTTTAGGGTTTAGGGATTTAGGGTTTAGGGTTGGTTTCAGGGTTTAGGGTTTGGGGTTTTAGGGGGGTTGGTTTCAGGTTTAGGGTTATAGGGCTTTAGGGTTTAGGGTTGGTTTCAGGGTTTAGGGTTATAGGGTTTTAGGGTTTAGGATATCCAAGGTTTCAGGGTTTTTGGCGTTTCGGGTTTTAGGGTTTTCGGGTTTAAGGGCTTCATGGTTTTAGGGTTTTAGGGTTTTAGGGCTTCAGGGTTTTCGGGTTTCTGGGTTTTGAGGGGCTCTGTGCATAAGTTCAGGGCTTAGGGTTTGGTGTTTGACGTGCATAAGCATAAGGGTGAAATAGGGTCGGGATGAGGTTCAGGGCTTAGGGTGTAAAGTTTGACCTCAACTATTCCGAGAACGATGCGGCGCACTCTGCTTCCGAGGTGCTGCACCGGATGCTGCCCAAGCCAAGACCGCATGTCTGGGAAGAGGGCGAACCTCCCCCGGTCCAGTTGGGGCTGGGTAGGCGAACGGCCTGCCCCAGCAAGGTCTGGGCGC